GAAGCCCTCTACGAGGAACGGAGTGGGAGTATACGACCTATCGAAATATTCGAGGTACCGATAGTAATGTTCGAGACATTATCTGGGATCGCCACCAGGGGCTCGTACGGATTACCACACATTGGCATAAAAGTCGAAACATCACGCGAAAATCACGACCGAACCTTCGATTTTTACCACCGACACTCTCCTATATTCTAATCTACTACCTCCTCTACGTGATCCCCGTATATTACTACCTCACCCTCGAATATCTCGAGCGAGACGAGATCTCCCCCTTTCTCTTTGAGATCAACGCCAACCGGATCCAGAGCTCGACTTTATCGAGGACTCTTTATGTCCAATCGGGTCAGATTTTTCGAACTGGGTTAACCCTCAATCCCTATCGCCACTTGATCAACCACATCCTCCTCGAAAAAATCGGTCCCGAGACGGAAGAATTTATCGATGGAGGCGACGAAAACTACGAGTCGTCTCTCGAGCAAAACGACTCGATCATCGATATTCAGGCAAATCGGTCTTCCAAGGTAGGCCAGCTTCACTATAGTCTGCTGGCGGACCAGCCCGCGGCCGGACTACGGCATCGATATATACGAACCGTCCACTTCACCCAGCAATATCAGGCACTCTTTAAGATCGATAAGTGCGACCGAATCTTCCAAAAATTCGAGTCGGGAGCCGATCAAAGCGAAGCCCTGGAGAAAAGCTCAGGATCCCAGCTCGTCCTACCCTACTACTCTCGCGAAAATACCGTGTCGAAGACCGATGTTTACTACCAGCTCACTCGTTTTTTCGAAGATAAGAGTGCCCGATTTCGAGACCTCTATCAACGTGAGGCCATCCTCGCTATTTTCGAGAGTATTACCTACTTGACGTACGTGAACAAGACTGGCTCGGGGAAGAGTCTCCTCTACCTCCTTCCCGCCTTTGTCCGATATCAGGATATGGTCAATATCGTGATCACTCCTCGGGTAAGTCTAAAGGATGATCTTTTTAAACGAGCTCAGGATCGAAAGATTCGAGTGGCTCGCTTTGAGGATCTCACGGCCGAGATGAAGGAGGAGCATACCTATCAGCCGTTTAATCTAGTCGTTACCTCGATTGAATCGATCCAGGACTCGACTTTTTCGGAGTATGTAATACGGCTAGTGAAGGGTCACCGTCTGGTCCGCCTCTACCTTGACGAAGTCCATACGATTATCCTCGAAAAAGACTTTCGATGGGTCATGAAATACGTCAATAGCCTCCTACAATACCGGGTCCCCCTCGTATTTATCTCGGCTACGCTTCCCGTGCCGCTTCTCAGGCTCGTCGAAAGCGAGTTCTTCCTCCTGGAGGGAACAAATCGAATCATTCGATCGACGACGATCCGCGAGAATATCGAGTACGAGATCGTCAATATCGACAGGAACACGATCCGGATCGCAGATATCGAGGAAATCCTCAAAGTTTTCGAGTCAAAGGGACTAGGCCCGAAGAGTAAGGCGATCCTCTTTGTCCCGACCTACCGATACGGGGAAGGACTCTCGGAAAAGATGAAGATTCCCTTCTATAATGCGAGAGACCCTCAGAAAAAAGCGATCCTGGACTCGTTTTTGACGGACGATACGGTACTGACGCTCTTCGCGACGAGCGCCTTGTCGCTTGGGGTGGACTTCCAGCTCGTTCGATTTACCCTCCATCTCCCTCCTCATCAGCTAGGCTTGATTGAATTTATTCAAGGCTCAAGTCGGATTCGTCGAGACGGACTCTCGATTATTCTACAAAGTAGACGATCGGAAGATCTCCAAAGCCGAACGCGGTCCTCGTACGAATCGATGGATCTCGCGAAGATTTCGACGGCGGAAGAGTTCAAATCGATCGATCGGTTGATTTTCCAGAAGCTCCTGAACGAGGATCGGTGTGTACGACAGATTACGAGTCACTTCCTCGATAATGTCGACATCGTCAATTGTACGTCGTATAACGCGAGGTCGGCGTCGAAAATCAAGCCTTGTTATATCTGTCTCCGGGAGCAGAGCGTGTTTGAGCGCCAGGCGAATCGCGAAGAGGACAGTACCAGAGCGACCAACATCGGCCTCGCCCAATTCGAAGAGACAATCGAGGATTTCGCCCTCTCCCCGTGTTTTTTCTGCCTCTTCCTCGGAAATATCGACGAGATCGACGCCCACTCGTTCCTCAAGTGTCCGCACGCGGGCGCGCCCTCCTTCTATAGGGCGAGAGGGGTGACAAAGACTCTTCAAAATCGACTAAGTACTCTCAATTCTCGTCTGTCCGCTGGTCAGGGTCTCGTCCGAGGTAGTTGCTGCTACCAGTGCCTCCTCCCGTCGCGAGTGTGCGCTCGTCTCAAAGACCTCGAAGAAAAAGAGGCGACGGACGGATGTGTCTACCCGTTGACGGTCAAGACCTTTATCGCTATTATCGAACTCCGCCTCGAAATAGGCCATGTACGGGTCTTCTTAGACGCCCTCGGGGTCGATCTTTCCGGGCTTCGGACGGGGAGCCTCGATTTCGCGGGGATCCTCGACTACTTTCGGCGACCTACGAGGCTATTGGGGACGGACGCGATCCAAGTGTGTCGAGTATTAAACGACCTGAGTGTCGTAAAAATCGTCCAGGCCCGCGAGAAGATCGAGGGAGAGAATGACCGTAAGCGATATAGGGTATCAACCTAGGTTCATACAAAATCGGCCTCGAAGGAATATACTCGTCCTTCGTATAGATTGAGGGGGTCCTCGTGAAAACCGGCCCTCGTCTTTCTCGAGCTGACGGTCGGGAAATAAGGGGCGAGGGGAGCCTCGGATTCTTCGTCCCTTCCCTCGTTTTTTTCGAGGCTGGGTGAGGTCCCGTCAAACTTGACTTTTGACGGGCTTGCGGACGCCTCGAAAAAAACGAGGCATCCCTCGTACGGACCGAGGCGATGGGGACTAAGTTGGTGAGAAAGAGGGACTCTATATAAATATATAGATCCTCGGAATAGTTGGCTAGTTAGTCGATAAAGTCGAGGAGGGCACCAGCTCTAATAGGTTCGATGGCCCTGAGGAGGGCACTAGGTTCAATAGATTCGATAATATTGAGGCGTCCCTCATGGCTATTCCTCTACAAAGTCTTGGCGAGGTTATATTATTTATACCTTCTCTTCTCTCTTTCTGATCTTTCCTTCTTTGTATCACTCTGACTTGTCTACCCGGGCCCCCCTACTATCCGGTAAGACCCCCTTTTTTTTCGAGGCTTCGGCCTCGTTTTTTTTT